ACACTGAAGTTGAAACACTTGCGCAACTCCGCGTATTTCACATCATCACCGACGACGAATCAACTGCATCATGCAGATTCAATGGCACTCTCATCATGCGAAGCTGCTCAAGGATGGTATCTATAGAGCTGTCGAGAAAATCTACCTCGGTTTCACGGCAATTCACCTCGCTTAGGAGCAACCGGGACCTCCATCGCTGCTGCTCTATGAGCGTCCTGATACACTTTACGTTGAAGGGCAAGAGCGACGATCATCAGCAGCAACGAGATACCAATCCCGAGTGAGAAGGCCAACAAGACTCTACCTGCCAAGTGAAAACATCGAAAAGTCGTACGACTTTACGCATTGTCCGGGGACACTTGCACAAAGTTCTCTAGCTTGACGTTTAGGTAGCTACTGAGTCTTCCTATGTTTGCTACTGGGAGAAACTTCACTGTTGTATGAAGTGATTCCCACTCCACGAGAAGGGGAATACAGAACTCCTATCACTCTGAGTAAATTTGACATTCAGATGCATCACAACAAATGTCATTGGCAAGCTAAGCGGAGCGAAGCGATTTTTTATACCGGTTTTCCGCGAGATCGCTCGCTGTTCCCCATGAGAGGTTTCTTCAACAAGTGCCACCGCGTCGATCTCGTCAACGGCCGCACCCAGGAACCACAACGAAAAACATACAATGCAATTCCGTCGAGCATTTTGTTCAGTTGCTCACGTTGGTGACACGCGTCCTCAAACTGATCGTGTCACACAGGGGAGAATTAATGATGAGGAGTGATAGGAGAAATACCAAACGAGATGACAACATTGAAGAGGTAGTAGCTACACCAATGAGCAATGCTGCACCAATGTGTATAAGACTACCCTATATGGATAATGAGTATTGAGTGATGATTTCGATACCGTTTGGCTTGAATATAACACCAAAATGCATCACTGAAATATTGGAATACTGTCTTGAAGAGGAAGGATTGCAAGAATATGTAGAATTCTACATTGATGATGGTATAGTAGAAAACAAATATTTCGCGTTAATAAGAAAATGTTTAGCAAAAAATGGGTTCACATTGATAGAGCCAGAAATATTGAATCAAGCAAGAGTTTTAGGTATTCAAATGAATAATGACGTACAGGGATCATGGAGGAGGAAAGGACAAACGCCTATACTGCGCCGAAATGAAGATGGATCAATCACTAGACGACAGATAAGTACATGGGTCGGCGAGTTGATTGCTCATTATCCCATTGGGAAATGGCTATGAAGCGCATGTGCAATGCTGACACGTATAATATCGATGAATGTGAAAGATGATGAACCAAATGATGTAGTCTCATCGAATGTTGTTCATATATGTAAAAAACTAGAAATGGATCTAAAGAAAAAAGGAGATCCTGGGTATGGATTATGGTCATTACAACCGACTAAGATATGGACGTTATACGTGGATGGTAGTAAAGTAGCATACGGAGCTTGCTTAAATATAGGTGATGTAAGAGCAGAGGATGCTTCATGGATAAGACCCAAAGGTGATCATCGCCATATTAATGTAGCTGAACTCGACGCAGTTTTGAGAGGCTTAGCATTGATAACCATGTATTTGAAAGTCCACGAAATGGTCGGTAGGAGGAGAGAGATCATATTGATAACTGATAACAGTTCTCAACAGATAAGTGTGGCCTCATGGCTAACACGAAGACAGTTATCTCATTGGGTCGAAAGTATAGATGGGCAGAATTACGTTACGGACCGTTACGGTTCACTTTTACGGTTACGATTCAAGTCCCGTACCGTAAAATTACGGCGCCGTAACGGGCTTTACGGAGATGCAGAGGACAAAACGAGGGTGGATCATTCAAGTGGCCTGAATCTGTTTTATGTGAATGCCCATCGGTAGACGAAGCTGGCTTGGCAGTTCCGGGCCAGCTTGGGACTCCCAAGTTGGGAGTATGATAGGCGAAATTTGCAAAGGAGACGAGTGGTAAATGCCAATCCAAATGTTACTCTTTTAGCAGTTCGGTTGAATCCGAGCCACGAAAGATGAGTTAACAACTATTTGAGCTATGGAGGAGTGCACTACAGCGAATGTTTCAGCCACGATTCTAACAAAGCACTTCAGCACCAACCGTAAAGTCGTAACCGGCCTTTCCGTAA